CAGCCATTCCCATGTATCTGCCAACCCATGATTGCAAAACACATTTGGCTCAAGAACACTTTGGCTCAAAATGGCTCAAGACTTTGACTGCCCAGCTTTCCAAAAAAAAGGGGAGGAAGGGATGTAATGTAGTTGGCTCAAGACCAGTGTGGGCAAAGTTACCCACACTGGGGCTGGGAGAAAAAATGGGTAAGATGGGATTGGTAACTAGATGGCTCAAAACCAATTTCGGCAAAATTTCCAAATTGGTGCGGTAGGGCAAGGAAAAAGTAGGAAGGGAATTGGGAAGGGATGGTTGGGACTGGGCTGGATGCGACCAGGGGTAACATGATAACATAATGTAATGTAACCTTGGGGTAATGCAACCTTAGAATTTTCAACATGGCATGGCATGAAACCATCAAACCATAAACCATGTCAAACAAAACATTTCAAACATTTTTGGCATGGAACAGGGGAGGTGGTCTGACCCCTCTCAGTGACTGGATCGTTTTATTTTCGATTGTTTTTTTGTTGCCACAAGTGGCAGCGCTGTGGAACCAAGCTGCAGAATTCTCTGCGGCATGGCCAGCAGGGGAGGTGACCCCTCTCGCTGACTAGAATGTTTTCAACAAATCAAACAATCAAACCATGTAAAACACATGATTTTTCAAACTTTTGGCATGGATTGGGCAACGGGGGAAGTGTCTCACCCCGTTCACTGACTGGATCATTTTTTTGTGGATTGTTTTTTTATTTTGTTGCCACCAGTGGCAGCGCTGTGGAACCAAACTGTAGAATTTGTTTGGCATGGCCAGCAGGGAGGTGGTCTGACCCCTTTCACTGACTGGATTGATTTATTTTTTCAACAGGCTAAACCATCAAACCATGTTTATTTTTTATTTTTTGAAGAGGAGGTGGTTTGACCTCACTACCTGGAATGCTGGAGTTTTTTTGACAGGTTCCGGCATGCTGAGCGATCAAAGCAATGAAACCAGGGAGAGCTGCCAATTTCCCCATTTTTTTGTTTGGCAGCCAGCCTGGAAGGAAGACAAATTCAAACAAACCAATGGAAGGTGGTCTGACAGTCAGAAGTGTAACTGGGAAGGGGGGCAGGGCGATCCAAAAAATCACCAACTGGGTCTGTTTTTCATTCAGAGGTGATTTGATGATTTTTCATATGCAGCATTTCCTCCAACTGTTTTGGTTGGGTTGTGTGTGTGTGCTATATTATTTTTTTGGGGCCAATTCTATCTTAGATGGTATTGTTTAAGATGAAGGTGGTCTGACCCCTTTAACCACTGCTTCACCAAAAGGAAATACCTCTTCTGAATGGATCTTTTGATGGATCTACCCTAGATGGGGACACCCTCAATGTTTTACTGGTACCAACCACGTCATTGGGCAAGGTAACCACAGAGAATGTCTGAGGTCTGTAAACACCATTGATTTTTGATCAAGAGTCGTATGCCCCAGGATAACCTGATGAAGTGTTTCTTAACTAACCTCCATTCTTCTTGATGCCTCTGTTCCCACCGCCGCCACAATGTTTAGATCACTACCCTTCCCCGGTTTCACCCTGCAGGACATGTGCACCTGTGGGCACCAGCAGAATATGACAGTTGGTGTATCCTGCTGGTGCCCACAGGTGTCCATATTCTACAGTTGGCGCTCCAGTTTCTGATGAAACTCAGCTTACAATCAGACTGTTGACGACTGTTGCGTTGAAGGATGGTGGGTTTGCAAATCCCACGTGGTTGACACAGGGGAATCGATAATAATGCATCTTGATGGTTTCCAACATCACCTACGCCGGAATTTCGCTTGTCGTCTGGGTGCAGTGGCTTCTGCCAGATTCTGCCAGGACCCACTGCACTGATACGAATGTGGCATTGGCGCCTTGGTCTGGACTGGTGTTCAAATTCTAGCAGTGTGCAACTGCTGAGCGATACGGAATCTTTCTTGTCCCTCACACAGTTGCACGCTGCTGGAATTTGGATCTCAAATTTGGATATCAACATGGGTTTGGGATGAATCTGGTGGTGGATTTCGATGTGAGCTCTCGATGACAAGGATCATACTTTTGGAGGCTTGGCTTGATAATGGGGGCCGGTTTTCCACCAGGAAATTTGTGTTATTCACAAGTTTTGTAAGGGTTTTGCACTGAAAAATCTGTGTTTCTCACCAATTTTGTATGGGTTTCACAAGTTTTGTAAGGGTTTTGCACTGAAAAATATGTGTTTCTCACCAATTTTGTATGGGTTTTGCACTAAAATTGACACGTGGGGTCAGACCACCAAGCATCATTTTCTATGGGGTCAGACTTGAAGGTATGGTTTCCAATGCCCAGATGCTTCCAACTTACCGACGCCCCCCTCGGTAAGTTGCACGCGGCCCATTGGTAAGTTGAAACTTTGGATTGGTAAGTTCGTGCCCCTGGGTTGCTGCTAGTGGCTCAAAATATCTACCTTTTCCCGTATTGCCGCTTGCAATGGGGATGAAACGGCCTGCTGCAGCAAAATGTGGTCTGACCCAACCTGCTCAGAAGGAAAAACCGGCAAACCATGGTCTGACCCAACCTGTTGAGAAGGAAAAACCGGCAAACCGTGGTCTGACCCAACCTGCCTGGAACAAAGGAAAAAAACCCAGCAAAACAAGTAAGCAACACGTGTTCATCCCCAAAGAGCAGCTAGAATTGTTTTTTGCGGTTGCTTTGTTTTTTACTGGGCCAGTCTACTGTGCCGCTTTATGGCTGTGCTTGGTGACATCCCGGCGCATCAGCGAAACCCTGCTACTTCGTGGAACAGATGTGCAACTGATTGGAGGCGATGAACACGATGCTCCTCATATACTTTACCAACAACGTGTGGAAGATCGCCACTTGCGTGGAAACGGAAAGCTGGGGAAGGAGCGCTTGGTAGCCAGGTTGTCCAGCGACGCTGTATTGGGATTGAAAAGAATGCAAGAAAAGGGCCTGGAATGGGAATGCTTGCCTGTTCTGGAAAGCTACCGCGCCTTCCACCCTGAAACTTTCAATATGAAACCAATGCAGAAAAAGGCCTTCATTTTGGAAAGCACAGAAGATTATGTTTTCCCTTCCCAAAGCAAAAAAAAGGGATGCAGGCCTAACCTGGCTAGACAATCCATCAATGCGGCGATGACAAAAATCAGAGAGGTGATGTTTGCATTGACAAAGAATCGTCGATGGAATCCAGGAAAGAGATTTCAAGGGAACCGGGTCACAGTGCACGGGGCAACCAGACACACAAGCGCGCACCTCCTACTGTTCAACCCATCCTCTACTAGGACAAGACCATCGGAAGAGGTCATCATGGAGATCCAACAAAGGTCCGATGCTCGAGTACTTCGGAAACATTATTTTCACGCTGATGATAGCGAAGTGAAGGATGCTCTTGAATATGGTTCCGCTCCTAGCCCATTTAAGCAATGTGATGGTCTGACCTCACGTGATGGTCTGACCTCACAGCCATTATCGCAGGAAAGCACGAAAACCCTGGAATGTCCCAACCCCGGTCCTCAGCAAAGCTCTACGGCCAGCTCGTCCACATCCAGGCGTCCCATGGCAACAGCGAGATCTCAAAGGCGTGTGCAGGAGGATTGCCCAAAAAAACAACATGAATATTGCAGCCGCAATGTGACATGACTGTTGAATTTATCATTTTTTCATTTCATGTCAAACATGCTTAATAATAAACCATATGTTTGTTGACACATATGTGACTTTCTAACTATGTCAAATCTGATTTGTTCATTGTTTGTATTGGTTTTGTCATGCAACACCTGAGGCTTTCCGGAAGCACCAGCGGAAGCAAAAACAACATGACAAGAGCATGCCTGGTCAGTGAAGGTCATGGAGTCAATGCCTTTTAATTCCAATTTCGCCAGGTCAGACCATAGCGTTTGCAGTATGATGAAAAAGAAGCAGTTTGCTGGCTGGGACCCCTTGTGAGTTTGGTGGTTCTTATGGGCCCCTCACAAGTTTGTGGTGTTAGCCCCTGCTTCCCTGGTACAGTGGTGTGGTCCCCCTGCTATGCAAGTTTGTGGTCTCCGGGCCCCTTGCACAGGTTTGTGGTACCATGCCCCCAGGAATAATTTAAAACAAAATTGATAGTCAATTAATAATATATCAATTCCTACAAGTGTTGTTGACATAAGACATTGAATCCAAATGGGTATGGCCAAATATAACCAAATCAAATTTGTTTCATGTCCCCAAAACACAACATGGTGGATTGCAAATGTACCAGGTCAACCCTGCCACCGCTGCACTATTGCAACATTTTGCTGCACATCGATCGCAGCGCTGTGAGGTGGAAAATCCCTAGCCTAGCTGCAACTGAAAACGTGAAAGGCTCGCAGCCTGTCAAACGCAGCTGCATCTTCCATGCGAAGGCTAAGGACGTTGGGCGGGATGGCGGCAAAAAGCCAGGTCAGACCTTTAGCCTGCCCACCCTGTAACTTGAATTAATATCCTGAGCTGAGTGGGTAGCCAGGTCAAACCATAGCCCCCTGCCAGAGTCATCCTGGACTGTTGGGTAGTCAGGTCAGACCATAACCCCCTGCCAGGGTCAGACCACCGGTCAGACCAAGACATGCGCCCCCTGGCTGTGAAGGCGATAGCTCTCGCTCCACTCATGCCACGAAAAGCGGAGCGGCATGTCCTCTGTTCTCAGGTAAGAACAGGGCATGTTCCAGGGGGTCGCACGCCTGCCTGAATGCAGCGCCCAGTGGGACCTGGGCAAGCGGTGGGGGAATGGCTGCAAGCCCACCTCCTGGCAGCCCCTCTCAATGTACCACTGGATGATGCCCTTCAAGGTGTCGACGGTGGGGACCTCATCACAATTGATGCGGAAAGTCACCTGGGCATTCTCCAGTCACCACCATTTCAAAAGTTGGACCCGGGGTCAGACCACCGAGCCCAGGACCCGAGGTCAGACCATCCGATCCGTCAGTCAAAGCTGGGACCGTTGTCGCACCGCCGGCATCAGACTCAACAAAAATCATAGGGCCCACGCCTGGCAGTACGACCAGCGTACCATCAGGAGCGTGCACAAAGGACCATTCACTTCCGGCAGCGGAGGACGCCATTGAAGAGAGAGGGGCGACGTGCCACAAACACGGGGGCAGAGAAGCGCGGTCAGAAAATGGCTGCGGGCTGTGAACCAAAGGACAAAGTAGTGCAAACATCCACGGACATGAGCACAAACAAAATCACTCAGCAGAACACTGGAACTCCCTTCGCAACATCTTGAATGGTTGTTTGACCCCATATCTAGAGTTGGTGGTCTGACCCCAAATCTAGAATGGTGGTTTGACTCTGACTTACCCCTCTTCAACATCATGGTTTCACCCCAAATCTTTCATGGTGGTTTGACCCCAAATTACATTCTTAAACATGGTGGTCTGACCCCAAATTACATTCTTAAACATGGTGGTCTGACCCCAAACCCGTGATCACGACTCCACATGAAACTGCCACTGGAAACATTTCCAAAAAAAAATTGGAAACAAATGAAAGATGGAAGTAAGTTGTTTCAAACATATTTATATATTTTGCATGTAATGCGATTTGCACATTTTTTGCAAAGCACAGACTGCGGAACGCTTGCATTTTTGTCACCTCTCTGGGATCTTGCACTTTCGGTTCGGCCAGCAAAACTTGTCCAAATGACACGCGGCTCTGAGATTGATGCGTGGGTCTTTAAACCTTACCAATTAGCATCTTCGTCTTCAGAGTCATCGGAATCATCTGATTTCTTCTTTTTGGTCTGTTTTTTCCTCTTCTTTTTCTTGTCATCTGATTCTTCTTCTTCTGATTCTTCTTCCTCAGACTCTTCATCTTTGTTCTTTTTTCTCTTTTTGGACTTTGGTTTTGCTTTCGGATCAGGATTGTGCCCAGAGGTCAGACCATCGGAGCTTCCAGCAGCCACCGAGGTCAAACCATCAGCGCCGACCATCATATTTTTTGCATCCTCGCGATGCAAAGTGTGCCCCTTTTCCGTAAATTTGGTCAGCACATACTTGGTCAATCTCTCTTCCAGCGCCTCCGCGTGCGCTTCGGTGCAGCAAAATGCCACAATGGGGGTGCGTGTGTCCAAGCACGCCTGGGCCATCTCTCCTTGCCCTGCGAACAAGTCAATGACAGCATTGCAGCACAAGCTGTGCAGCAAGTCCGTGTGGAACTTGGTTGGGAGGCGCCCGGCGCTGAAGACGGACTCCACCCGAGCATCATTGGCGACAACCGCTTGCTGCTCCTTGTTCAGGCCTTGGCTTCAATAATTTAGAGGATTTGTGTTTGAGGAGCAAATAAATAAAAAATAAAAAATTGACGAATCCAACAAGCAACTGATCTGCTCAGCGGTCGTGAGCTTCAACGCCTTGGGGCCCAGAATCTTCTCCTTGTCTTTCCGGGTAGCTTCCCACAAGGAATTCGGCTGGAGACATGTCACCCACCCCATGACATCCCTGTGTTGAATCCGTCATAGTGCAGCCTTCTTTTCTCTGGGACTAAGCCAGGAATCAGGGTCAAACCGCTGAACAAGTGCAAGTAGCTGTCGCATCTGTAGGCCTCTGATCCTTTGATGCGTTTCTTTCGGCTGCGCACAGATTCCTCCTGGAAGACAACCATGATGTCTTTCTGTTCACAGTCGATGGTGTCACCTCTTGTCGCTGCAGCAAGACGAAAGATCTTGCGCAACTCTGAGATTGCTCCTGGTCTGTCTGAGGCTGCGTGGAAGCACACAATCTCTCCGGGAGCAGGGACCGTTATCTCCCCTTGGTCGCTTTTCACTTGGGCCCCACGGGCCAGCATCGTGGCTTGGATGAGGCTCTTGGTTTCACCGTTCCCGTCCAAGGGCTGCAGCCTCCGAAGGCCAATCTGCGAATTGACGCCCATATTCTCACCCATATAATCCAGGTCACACCAAGTCAAGCACGACCTGACAAGAGGCATCCCTACATTTCGATTGCACGTCCATGGCTAGGGTTCCCAATGTTGTTGCAAAAAAATGCATTGAAATAAACCAAAAAAAAAGAGTCCATTCAACAATCCTCTGGCCCTCCGGCACAATGACATCTTTGAGGCAAGAGTTGGTCAGCTCTCTCTGCATTTGCCCTTGTGTGGCTGGCAGCACCATACATGAAACATACCGCCTCACAGTTGTGTTCGCCAAACTGTTCCAATACTCCTGGCTGTTCTCCACAAACTCATTGGCTGCCCGACGCATTTGATGGAGAGCGGTCTCTGCCGGGGCGTCTCCGTCCTCCTGGTCTTCCATCTTGTCCCGCACCTTCTACTCTGCCACTTCATTTTCTCGGATGGAAATGACCTTGGACCATTCCTCCTTGACGATCTCATTTTCGGCCACTTCTTCGACGTTCTTGTGCCCGCGGGCATGCTGCTTTAGCTGATTGTCGAATTGTTTGTTGAACACCAGCTTCTGACAGGGCAGTTGCAAACAACATGGTGAAAAAACATTGGTACTATGGCTTGCTGAAATCTTCAAACATCTAAATGTGCATTGAAATGAAAGGCACATGTTGTGTTTGGAAACCTGCAGATCCATCAGGCCTCAAGAAACTGCAATGCCTCCAAAGAGCTGCGGGCGAGATTGCCTTGCCATGAGACGTCTGAGCCCAGCATCTCCTGCCGATACGAAGCATGGTCCTGCAAGACTCGGCGGATCACTGCCCGGTCCTTCTCCAGGATGTTGGCGCGGGCCATCATGGATGAGAGCCAATGTTCCAGGCAAAGCATCTTCAACTCCAGGAGCGGAATCAAACCGCAGGTGTTGCGATCACCAGTGAGAGTGTTCTTGGTCACCTCATCGTTCGTCAGCAAACTGCGGACGAGCCAGTCATAGATTCCCTGCATCACCCAAACCCGCCGATTGGGTTCAGGTTTGGTTGCCAAGAGATGCAGTTTGCTGAGGGAGTTGAAGCAAGACTTTGTTCCAAATTTTTCTTCCATGGCTAGAATGGGACCTAGCATCTCGGGGCCTTTCATCTTCTCATACACCTGGGTTGCCAGTTGCACTAGATTTGTGGTGAGATCATCCTGTGAAGAAGCTTTCTTGAGGCCAAATTGCTTCAACTGATTGACGAGCTCCGCTGGTTGAAGAGTTCGTCCTACATCGGACTCCATGCGCTTCTTCAGCATGCTGATCTCGGTGGCCTGCTGCAAAGCTGATCGGCTCAGAGATTCATACTCCTGTGTGAGCTGGTTGCGGCAATTCCATGAATGAATCCAAGTGTTTTTTGCGCCAGCCACAAAGCAGAATGGGACTGACCTCAGCACAATTTGCCATTCCTCTTTGTGCTCTGGGAGGTCTCTGGCAGCCGCATACAGAGCAGCATGCGCATAGCCTTCCGGAGAAAGCATACCCAGAGCTGATGGTCTCTCTGGCACATCTGTTGGGGCTTCCACCTCCAACAACTTGAGGAGGAACATCGGTTTGGACTGGTTCTTGGGCCACAAGAAGTCACCTAGCTGGCATACACCATGCCTTTGTAGTGGTACTCCTGGGCTTGGGGATCTCAGAAAATCCAACCAGAACAAGTTCCCAGCGCAAATGTACAAATTCTGGTTCCCAAGAGCCCTCGTGGCGCTTTCCTTGTTGAAAGGTTCTTGGATGCCGCCATCTCCTTGTTGATTTCCTTGTGCGATTTGCAGCGCATCTTTGTTGGCAAAATCCGGTCCCAAACACTTCAAAATTTTCCTCATGTCTTCTTGGACTGATTGGTAATAGCTTAGATTGACTTCAGACACGTTGCTGGTGGACAACGGTGCCATTGGGGTCAGACCACCGGCACCTCCAGCAGGGGTCTGACCACCGGCACCTCCAGCAGGGGGCAGACCAATGGCACCTCCAGCAGGGGCTTGGCCGGCATTGTTGCCGGTTGGCGAGGACGGGGCCTGGGCGTCATCTCTCGGTTGGGCGCCATCTTTCGCCTTTTTTTTGGCTTCTGCTGATGCCTTCGCTTTGCCTTGTTTCATGATTCGGGTTTGTTCAGCCCTGTACTCATTGATCTTCGCCTGCACATTGTCAGATCAAACATCGCCATGTTTATACAAACACACAATGTTCAGCAACATACTCTTTGCCATATCCCGTGCCTGCCGATCGACCTCGTTCTCTGATCCATCCGGCGCCAGCTGCTCTTCGAAAGTCTTCACAGCCTCATCGATTTTAGCCTGAAATTTGCTGGATGGGACATTATTGCGTTTGATATTTTGAAAACTAAAAATTTTAAAACATGATTTCAGACTATCGGTCCTGTTCAAACTAAAAAATTAATAACATGATCTCAGACTATCGGTCCTGTTCGGCTCCAGAAAGCCGCCACGCCGACCAATTGGAAGGCACGCCATCAGGCAATGGAGCTTTATTCGCTGCTTTTGGTGGCATGATGGACCTGCAAAAACCATCACGTGCCACTGGCTGCAAGACAGCTGTGGGCCAAAACAGATAACCATGCACAAGGTCATAAATCTGTGCACAGAAATGTCCTTCACACTAGCAAGGTGCTGAATTAGCTGCAACAAAAACTCATCCAAGATACTTACGTCAGCAACTAAATTTCCACAGCATTCAATTTTTTTCTTCGCAATGTATCTACTTGGTCTTTGTACAGAGCGATTTCGAATGCAGGAGTCGGGTCAGACCACAACCCTGGCCAGCTCAATGAGGATCCGATTTATTTCCTTGGCCGAAACAGTTGCCATGCTCGATCTGCTGCGCTGCGGGTAGTGGCTGAGTTTACCCAATGATCTCGGGCTGCGGCTTCCTCCCGGGACACGTGGCCCAAAGAAACCATGCACTCCAGCAAAATTTTTCCCAAAACATTGATGGACATGGCGTCCCCCAGCGATGCGCCAACAGTGGATTCGTCAAAGGACTTGAGCAAAGAATTCAGCATTTGCTCAGGCCATCCTTGCAATCGCCCTGCCTCTCGTACAGTCAAACGTCTGTCCAACTTGGGCACAAAGAAACCAGTCTGTTTGCCTTTGAGGCGGCTTCTAGTCAAACAAGGCACAACATATTTTTTGGCCGACTGAAACGCCTCGCTGCTGCCAACATCCAATACATATGGTCCTTGGCGAACCCTGTCTCCATACTTTCGCACATAGTTTTCTATGTTGCACCGCTGGCCAGGCTCACCACGGAGATGCGTGTCCAGAAACTCCTTCAACCATTTTTTTTTGAACTCCACTTTCTTCGGCCAGTGAAATCTCGTCACAATGGCATCCTTCAGCAAGGCCACAATGTAGACACGTTGGCGGCTCTGAGGAATTCCATAATCCAATGTTGAATGAAGTTTTAAGCGAAGTGTGTACCCCAATTTTTCCAAGACATCCTTGATCAGCTGTCGGAATTGCTGATGTTTTTTTTGAAGGAGTCCTTTGACGTTCTCCAAGACCACACATCTGGGTTTGTGATGGCAAATATATTCAAGGCCATACAGACCGATTTGTCCTCGTGGATCCTGCACGCCCTTCTTTTTCCCAAGAACACTGTAACTTGGACAGGGGTAGCCAGCCACATAGACATCACATGATGGGGCTGTTGCGGCATTCCTCTTTGACATATCTTTGCACACGGGAGAAACGTCGAGATCTAACAGGGAGCAAACATGGCGATATAGTTTCTTCTTGTCGGGATCACTATCGGACCACATTGAAGTTTCGATTTGCTCGCGAAAACCAAACAGAGTAAGAGCCGCTAAATCGGATCCCATTCCTGCACAGTCGCTCCCCACACGAAGTTTACCTCTTCCAGGTCGACTTGCGCTGGGCTCACCAGCCTTTTCTTCGGCCAAATTGAGAATGCGATCGAAATGTTTTTTCATTTCTGCTGATTTTTTTGGTTTGCTGCCCAAGGTCAGGCCATCAGACTTTCTGCCCGAGGTCAGACCATCAGACTGCTTGCTGCCCGAGGTCAGACCATCAGACATGTTTTTTTTTCTAGTTGCCAACTTGGACAACATGGTCTAAGGCGGCGAGTCTGAGTTCATCTCCGAAAATGAATTGCTAATGATACTTATGCTGACTTGCTTATGTCTTTTCTATCAGTGAGATTGGCTGCTGTTACGGTAGTAACTGACACTGACTATCAGTGAGATTGGCTGCTGTTAAGGTAACTGACACTGACTAATCCAATCAACGTATGTGCCTGTGAGCCAGACTCCGGAAGCAAGAGCGTTGGATTGTATTCTCTGACTACTCCAAGGTCTAGTGTCTCTGGAAAGTAGCGTTTGTACCAGCGTAAATGCGTAAGGGGAGTACGAACTTCATACTCCCCTTACACGGAGCCGGCCCGGGCTGGCAATGTGTAAGGGGAGTATGTAAATGCGTAAGGGGAGTATGTACGCTAGCGGCGCTAGCGTTCATACTGTCCTTACGCGAAAACCTACTCCTCTTACGCGGCCCCGGCCCGGGCTGGCAATGTGTAAGGGGAGTACGAACTTCATACTCTCCTTACACGGATGCGTTCACGTTAACGCTGCTTACGCGGCCCCGGCCCGGGCTGGCAATGTGTAAGGGGAGTATGTAAGGGCCAAAATTGGTCTACACTTAACGTCGCCCAAAATGGAACATGTAAAATGTTAAGTTTGCATGTTCGCGGGAACTCCACTGAACTTTTTGGTGTTCCAATCTCCAATGCTCAATGCTGTATTTTGCACTACTTGGTCTAACACAGCAGAACAAAAACAGCAATGCAGTCATAACTGAACATGACCCTCGGTCAGTCACACAATTGAATTGGTGCAAGAAGACTGGCTAACGCACTTTTTCAACAGACTTGCTGTCATCATCCCCGGCAGCAGCATCACCCTAAGCGCCCAGACTTGTCAGTCAAGAGCGTCATTGTAGCCAATTGCTCAAAAAAACTTTCAGCTGTGTGCACACGCACCCCTGGTTTGCGGAACGAGCGTTTTTCATTTTCTAAACACAAAACCACTTTGGCCTGATTCTGGCCAATTTCCTCCCATTTGGAAGTGGGTTCTGCATGGATGTGGTGTTGCAGGCACGCAGTGATCTGGACGTGCTTGGCTTTAAAATTATCACTCATGAACAACTTCAGATGAATTTCGATTCCTGACCTGTACTGCAAAACAAAGACATGTCGTTTCACTGTCAAGAAGTCGCGGGCGACTACAGCCCCTCCTCGCAGCATCATGTGCCAAAATGCACGTTTTTCTGGAGAGCTATTGGTTGCAAAGGCCACGTTGGCCTCATCCAAAGAAGAAGTCAAGGCGGTCAGACCAGCCTGCACAGCCGCTTGACGTTCTTCAGGCGAAGCTTCGTCGTCGATCCAAGCAGTGCGTCCTTGCAGCAAAACATAGAAGAAGTGCATCGGTTTCTTCTCCTGTGCCAACTTGCACATGTTGTCCACATAGGCCTGCTTCTTGATTCGCTCTCTGTCGTTCTTGGCCTCTTCTGCCTTCTGTTTCTGGATGTCCTTGCGGCTAGGCTTCTCGGAATCCAGAAGAAAATTGTCTTCAAAGGCTTCCACACGCCTTTTTTTCACTTCCTGGAGGCACTTTTTTTCCTCCTTTTTCATTGCAGCATCGAACTTGTAGCCTCTGACTGGGTCTCTGCCTTCTTCACCTTGGCCCCCTCTGGCCAGACCAAGAGAGGACGCTTGGCCCCCTCCGGTCAGACCACGAGAGGACGCTTGGCCCCCTCTGGTCAGACCCTTCAGATCGGCTTTTCGTTTTCGAAGGAAGGCTGCCTCTGTGTTTTCGGGCAGTGCAGAAATTGGCTTCTTGCTTCCTGCATCAAAACGCGTCTTGCGACCTGATGTTTTGTTTTTGGCCACATAGCATCTGTTTTGCGAATGCAAAACTCGGGCAGCCTCAACTAAAACTTCGTCGGTCTTGAAGGAAGCCCCTTCCTGAGAAGTCAAACCCAGCACGGACCTGCGAAACGTGTCTGCAGAACCGCTGTGTCGATGCAAATGGTTCCTCTCAATTTTGGAAAAGTTTGCTCCATGCCCGATGTGGAAGCTGTCCATGACAAGAACGCTGAAAGAACCTCACATTCAACTCATACTTTACCGGGTTTATGTGAACATTATTATACTTCTTTTGGATTTTGTTGGGCATTGTTGGGCATGCACGAAATCAAGTTCAAAACTGATGTGATCTTGTTGACAAGGAACAACCTCCAAGTTGTCCAAGTCCCAGGCTTGCGATGTTTTGGAGACGGCTCGCCTAAAGGCAAACTGCCAGGCTTGTCGATTGTTGCATCCGGCATTCTTATGCTGGGCAAAAGCAATGGGCCAAAGACGATCAAACTCAGCCTTCAGTTTTCCTGGGTTCAAGGCGAACACTTTGGCCAGGCGCGCGATACTGTCGGCCTTCCCTTCTGCGGTGCTGCTGCCCGAGTCTGGGCTCAAGTCAAACACTCGGAAAGCCATGACTGCATCAAAATCTGGAAATTCAGCCGCGATGGCCGCCCTGATCAAGTCTATGGAACGCCGCATCGTTCGCAAAGCCTTGCGCTTGGCCACATCTGCCCTAAGGGCACTGAGTGATCTTGCACCCCCCTTCACATAGAAGGTCAAGTTGCCGCGCTTCAAGAGCTCAAAGCAATGTTTGGTGAAGCCTTCAATCTCAAACACTTTGCCTTGGACAAACATGGCCTCATCAGGGAAATTTGAAAACCATGTTTGACATAAAAACAAGTTTCACACGCTGCGACCCATGATTGGCAACACGGACCCAGCTCCTGGTCAAAGCAATAGACCTCCTCATTGATGCGGCTGATGTCCATGTCATCACGGTCAAAAAACCGCGTCAACTGGATGCAAGAGCTTGCCAGGTCAGTGGCCATTCCCAAAGTGAACAACGCTGCCTCATCAATGTTGGCCATCCAAGACTCCGCCCATGAAGCCCCGCCGGCAGCCGCAGCTCTGTTCAAGACATTGACGATTGCGTCAAAATGAAGCACAAACCTTGCCATCGGTTTGGAGAAACTGCAGAAGCGATGCT